TAAACTTCTTCTATAGAGTTTCTACTAGTTAGAGTTCAATTTCTTAAAACTTCTTCTATAGAGTTTCTACTAGTTAGAGTTCAATTTCTAAACTTCTTCTATAAAGTTTCTACTAGTAGAGTTCAATTTCTTAAAACTTCTTCTTCTTCTTCTCCTTCTTCTTCAACTTCTTCTATAGAGTTTCTGCTAGTTAGAGTTCAATTTCTAAACTCTTCTATTAGAGTTTCTACTAGTTAGAGTTCAATTTCTTAAAACTTCTTCTATAGAGTTTCTACTAGTTAGAGTTCAATTTCTAAATTTCTTCTATAGAGTTTCTACTAGTTAGAGTTCAATTTCTTCAAACTTCTTCTTCTTCCTAGTAGAGTTCAATTTCTAAACTTCGTCTAGAGAGTTTCTACTAGTTAGAGTTCAATTTCTTAGAGTTTCTACTAGTTAGAGTTCAATTTCTTAAAACTTCTTCTTCTTCCTAGTTAGAGTTCAATTTCTAAACTTCTTCTAGAGAGTTTCTACTAGTTAGAGTTCAATTTCTTAAAACAACTTCTTCTTCTTCTTCTTCAATTTCTTAAAACTTCTTCTTCTTCCTAGTAGAGTTCAATTTCTAAACTTCTTCTAGAGAGTTTCTACTAGTTAGAGTTCAATTTCTTAGAGTTTCTACTAGTTAGAGTGCAATTTCTTAAAACTTCTTCTTCTTCCTAGTAGAGTTCAATTTCTAAACTTCTTCTAGAGAGTTTCTACTAGTTAAAGGTCAATTTCTTAAAACTACTACTTCTTCTTCTTCTTTTTCTTCAATTTCTTAAAACTTCTTCTTCTTCTTCGATTTCTTAAAACTTCTTCTTCTTCCTAGTAGAGTTCAATTTCTAAACTTCTTCCTAGTAGAGTTCAATTTGTAAACTTCTTCTAGAGAGTTTCTACTAGTTAGAGGTCAATTTCTTAAAACTACTTCTTCTTCCTCTTCTTCTTCTTCAATTTCTTAAAACTTCTTCTCCTTCTTCGATTTCATAAAACTTTTTCTTCTTCCTAGTAGAGTTCAATTTCTAAACTTCTTCCTAGTAGAGTTCAATTTCTAAACTTCTTCTAGAGAGTTTGTTCTTCTTTTTCTTCTTCTTCTTCTTCTTCTTCTTCTTCTTCTTCTTCTTCTTCTTCTTCTTCTTCTTCTTCTTCTTCTTCTTCTTCGATTTCATAAAACTTTTTCTTCTTCCTAGTAGAGTTCAATTTCTAAACTTCTTCTAGAGAGTTTGTTCTTCTTTTTCTTCTTCTTCTTCTTCTTCTTCTTCTT